TGGTTATTTCGGTAAAGTCACGTAGGTATAAATAAATAATAAATAAATCAAACATTTTAGCAACTAAATTAAATCACGACGTTTCGGAGGCAACACGAGCTTCCTTCATCAGGTGTTAAAAGCACAGCGAAATCACTGCAGTAGGTTTGCTACAGTAATTTCGCTGTGCTTTTTACACCTGATAAAGGAAGCTTGTGTTGCCTCCGAAACGTCGTGATTTAATTTAGTTGTTTTCATGTTTGTTTTATTTAATTAAATTGTATTTATTTATTTTTTACCCACGTGACTTTACCGAAAGAACCAAAGAGTATGGATCATTGCAGTCACGAAAACTTCAAATCTAGAATTAACCACCCACCCATCCACTCTCTCACCTACCCACCAGTGACCCACCTACCCACCCACTCACTTACTCTCTCACCCACCCACTCACCCACCAACCTACCTACTCCCTCAATGACCCACCTACCCACCCACTGTCTCACCTACCCACCCATTGATCCACCTACCCACCCATTTATCCACCTACCCACCCACTCAATCTCTCACGCACCCACTCATCTTACCCACCCACCCACTGACCCACCTACCCACCTACCCACCCACTCACTCGCCTACCCACCCACTGATCTATCTAGCCACCCACTCTCTCACCCACCCACTCACTCACTCTCCCACCAACCTACCCATCCACTTACTCATCCACCGCCCCACACATCCACTGACTCACCTACCCTCTCACTCGCTCACTTACCCACTCACCTACAAACTAACGTATCCATCCACTCACTCACCTGCCCACTCACTCAACCACCTGCCAACTAACTTATCCATCCACTCACTCACCTACCCACTCACTCAACCACCTACCAATTAACGTATCCATCCACTCACTCACCTACCCACCCACCTACCCAATCACCCACCTACCATCTAACGTATTCATCCACTCTCTCACCCACCCACCCATCCACTCACTCACTCACCCACCCACCTACCCACTCACCGAACTACCAACTAACGTATCCATCCACTCACTCACCTACCTACTCACTCACTCACCCATCCACTAACCCACCCACCCACCCACCTACCCACTCACTCACCCACCCACCTACCCACTCACCCACCTACCAACTAACGTATCCATTCACTCACTCACCTACCTACCCACTCACCCACCCACCTACCTACCCACCCACCCACCTACTCACTCACCTACCCACTCACCTACCTACCCACTCACTCACCCACTCACCCACCCACCTACCCACTCACTTCACTCAACGTCTCTTGACATGACCATTATGAACCCCCTGAGAGATTCAGACCCAGGGGGCTCCAGACAAACCACTGCCCCATCCACCCCCCCCCACATCCACCCCCACTCCCCCCCCCACTCCCCCCCCACTCCCCCCCCCCCACTCCCCCCCACACCCCCCCACTCCCCCCCCACGATTGGCCACCAACAAAAATGTGTTTTTGTGTTTAATCGGCGGAATTAGGATTCACGTCACGGCCACCGCTATGGCTGCTACTGCTGTGGATGAGTTTGATGGTGGTGTGACGTGGTGTGGTGTGACGCGGTGTGGCGTGACGTGGTGTGGCGTGACGTGGTGTGGTGTGACGTGGCGTGACGTGGTGTGGCGTGGTGTGGTGTGACATGGTGTGACGTGGCGTGGCTTGACGTGGTGTGGCGTGACGTGGCATGGCGTGGTGTGGCGTGGCGTGACGTGGCGTGGCTTGACGTGGTGTGGTGTGACGTGGCTTGGTCTGGTGTGGTGTGACGTGGCGTGGTGTGACGTGGTGTAGTGTGACGTGGTGTGGTGTGTGGTGTGGTGTGACGTGGTGTGGTGTGACGTGGCGTGGTGTGACGTGGTGTGACGTGGCGTGGTGTGACGTGGTGTGGTGTGACGTGGCTTGGTGTGGTGTGGTGTGACGTGGTGTGGTGTGACGCGGTGTGGTGTGACGTGGCGTGACGTGGTGTGGTGTGACGTGGCGTGACGTGGTGTAGCGTGGTGTGGTGTGACGTGGCATGGCGTGGTGTGGCGTAGCGTGGTGTGGTGTGACTTGGCGTGGTGTGGTGTGGCGTGGTGTGGTGTGTGGTGTGGTGTAACGTGGTGTGGCGTGACGTGGTGTGGTGTGTGCTGTGGTGTGACGTGGTGTGGTGTGTGGTGTGGTGTGACGTGGTGTGGCGTGGCGTGGTGTGGTGTAACGTGGTGTGACGTGGCGTGGCTTGACGTGGTGTGGTGTGACGTGGCTTGGTCTGGTATGGTGTGACGTGGCGTGGTGTGACGGGGTGTAGTGTGACGTGGTGTGGTGTGTGGTGTGGTGTGACGTGGTGTGGTGTGACGTGGCGTGGTGTGACGTGGTGTGACGTGGCGTGGTGTGACGTGGTGTGGTGTGACGTGGCTTGGTGTGGTGTGGTGTGACGTGGCGTGGCGTGACGTGGTGTGGTGTGGCGTGGCGTAGTGTGACGTGGTGTGGTGTGACGTGGTGTGGTGTGGCGTGGCGTAGTGTGACGTGGTGTGGTGTGACGTGGTGTGGTGTGGTGTGACGTGGTGTAGCGTGGCGTGGTATGATGTGTGGTGTGGTGTGACGTGGCGTGGTGTGACGTGGCGTGGTGTGACGTGGTGTGGTGTGTGGTGTGGTGTGACGTGGTGTGGTGTGACGTGGCGTGGTGTGACGTGGTGTGACGTGGCGTGGTGTGACGTGGTGTGGTGTGACGTGGCTTGGTGTGGTGTGGTGTGACGTGGTGTGGTGTGACGCGGTGTGGTGTGACGTGGCGTGACGTGGTGTGGTGTGACGTGGCGTGACGTGGTGTAGCGTGGTGTGGTGTGACGTGGCATGGCGTGGTGTGGCGTAGCGTGGTGTGGTGTGACTTGGCGTGGTGTGGTGTGGCGTGGTGTGGTGTGTGGTGTGGTGTAACGTGGTGTGGCGTGACGTGGTGTGGTGTGTGCTGTGGTGTGACGTGGTGTGGTGTGTGGTGTGGTGTGACGTGGTGTGGCGTGGCGTGGTGTGGTGTAACGTGGTGTGACGTGGCGTGGCTTGACGTGGTGTGGTGTGACGTGGCTTGGTCTGGTATGGTGTGACGTGGCGTGGTGTGACGTGGTGTAGTGTGACGTGGTGTGGTGTGTGGTGTGGTGTGAGGTGGTGTGGTGTGACGTGGCGTGGTGTGACGTGGTGTGACGTGGCGTGGTGTGACGTGGTGTGGTGTGACGTGGCTTGGTGTGGTGTGGTGTGACGTGGCGTGGCGTGACGTGGTGTGGTGTGGCGTGGCGTAGTGTGACGTGGTGTGGTGTGACGTGGTGTGGTGTGGCGTGGCGTTGTGTGACGTGGTGTGGTGTGACGTGGTGTGGTGTGGTGTGACGTGGTGTAGCGTGGCGTGGTATGATGTGTGGCGTGGTGTGACGTGGCGTGGTGTGACGTGGCGTGGTGTGACGTGGCGTGGTGTGACGTGGTGTTGTGTGACGTGGTGTGGCGTGGTGTGGTGTGACGTGGTGTGGCTTGGCGTGGTGTGGTGTGACGTGGTGGGGTGTGACGTGGTGTGGTGTGGCGTGGTGTGGTGTGACGTGGTGTGGTGTGGTGTGACGTGGCGTGGCGTGACGTGGTATGGTGTGACGTGGCGTGGCGTGGTGTGGTGTGACGTGGTGTGGTGTGGTGTGACGTGGTGTGGTGTTAACCTTCGCTGAGTAAACACAAGACGGAGTGTCTATGGAAAGTGGTAGTTTTGGGTTGTGAGTATCGCGCGTGTAACAGCATTTGCCCCCAACACTCCGTTAAAGGCTACACGGGGGATCTTTGTCTTTATCATTGTGCCTTGTGTGCTTGTATGTGAGTGTGCTTACACGCGGGCAATGAACCCACGCCAACGCACAGACATCCCACACCGTAACGAGTAACGATGATATTTGAGCTCTTAATTTTGTTTAATTCACCATAAGCAAATTACCCGGTGTTTTGAATGCATTAGCATTCGCGTTAATGGTTAAAGCCAGACCAGAGCACCGAATGGGGCACCCACTTTGACACGCAGGGTAGAGACAGCGTCATCATCGTCATCATCATCGTCATCATCATCATCGTCACGTTGATCTTCAGCCAGCAGTGGATAGACCACGGTGACGATGATGACAGCGAGAGAGAGGGGAAGGCCTGGCTTTGTGTTGTGTCCTCATTCCGTGTGGTGTGGCCTGGATCCGTGTGTTGTGGTCAGTACCTCGTGTTGTGGTCGTACACCAGTGTGTTGTGGCCTAACCCAGTGTGTTGTGGACTAAACCTCGTGTGTTGTGGCCAGACCCAGGGTGTTGTGGCCTGACCCTCCTGTGTTGTGGTCTAACCCAGTGTGTTGTGGCCTTAACCTCGTGTTGTGGCCTAACCCAGTGTGTTGTGGCCAGGACCTCGTGTGTTGTGGCCTAAAACCTCGTGTTGTGGCCTAAACCTCGTGTGTTGTGGCCAGACCCAGTGTGTTGTGGCCTGAACCTCGTGTTGTGGTCTGTCCCAGTGTGTTGTGGCATGAACCTCGTGTGTTGTGGTCTGAACCTCGTGTTGTGTTCTGACCCAGTGTGTTGTGGCCTAAAACCTCGTGTTGTGGCCTAAACCTCGTGTGTTGTGGCCTAAAACCTCGTGTTGTGGTCTGACCCAGTGTGTTGTGGCCTGATCCGTGTGTTGTGGCCTGAACCCAGTGTGTTGTGGCCTCACCCAGTGTGTTGTGGTCTGACCCTCGTGTTGCGGCTGAAAATTCCCCCCCCAACACAACAAAGCAGACGACGCCGATCACGGAGGAGGAGGAGGCGGAGGAGGCGGTGGTGGCGGTAGTGTAGGCGGAGAGCCTCACCACCACCACCACCACAACAACAACCCTCACCACCACAACAACAACCCTCACCACAACAACAACAACCCTCACCACCACCACCACAACAACAACAACCCTCACCACAACAACAACAACCCTCACCACCACCACAACAACAACCCTCACCACCACCACAACAACCCTCACCACAACAACAACAACCCTCACCACCCTCACCACCCTCACCACCACCACCCTCACCACACCGTGGCCACCTTGTGCCCGGGGCCGCTTGTCGCAGACGGAGCCGGCGGGGCCGCGGCCTTGCACACTCTGCTGGCCAACTTGCAGGTGAGGTGGGGGGGTGAGGTGGGGGGGGGGGGTGAGGTGGGGGGGTGAGGTGGGGGGTGTGGTGGGGGGTGAGGTGGGGGGTGAGGTGGGGGGGTACAGAGGGGCAGCCCCTGAAATGTCCGGCCCATGCCCCCACGCTAGCAGACAGCGCCACCACCGCCCACCACCGCCACGCTGACCCCGCGCTGACCCCACGCTGAGCCCCCCGCAGACGCAGCTTGGACTCAGCGTGGGGTCAGCGTGGGGTCAGCGTGGGGTCT